TAACTTAGAAACAACAACTCAACGTGTTCTACAGATTCATCAACATAACATTAAAACAACGAGCCAACGTGTCCTACAGATTCATTAATATAACATAAAAACAACAAGTCAACGTTTTCTGCAGATTCATCAATATAACATAGAAACAACGAGTTAACCTTTTTTTCAGTTTCATTAATATAACATAGAAACAAAAAGTCAACTTATACTACAGATTCATCAATATAACAAAGAAACAACAATTCAACATGGTCTACAGATTCGTCATTATAACATAGAAACAATGAGTCAACGTGTTCCACAGATTCATCTATATAATATAGAAACAACGAGTGAAGGTTGCTTTACAGATTTATCAATATGACAAAGAAACAACTATTCAACGTGTTCTACAGATTGATCAATGAAACATAGAAATAAGAATTAGACGCGTTCTACAGATTGATCAATAAAATACAGAAACAACGAGTCAATGTATGGTACACATTCATCAATAAAACATAGAAACAATAAGTTGACGTGTTCTACAGATTGATAAATAAAATACACAAACACCATTTCAACGTTGTCTACTGGTTTATTCATATAACATAGAAACAACAAGTCAACAGGTTCTACAGATTCATCATTATAACATAAAAACAACGAATTGATGTGTTCCAGAGATTCCTCAATATAACATAGAAACAACAAGTCAACGTGTTCTAGAGATTCATTAATATAACATGGAAACAACGAGTCAACGTGTTCTACAGATTCGTTGATACAACACAGAAACAAAAAGTCAACTTATTGTACAGATTAATCAATTTAACATTGAAAAAACGAGTCAACGTGTTCTACAAATTCATTAATATAACATAGAAACAACGAGTCAACGTGTTCTACAGATCCATCAATATCACATAGAAACAATGAGTCAACGTGTTCCACAGATTCATCTATATAATATAGAAACAACGAGTGAAGGTTGCTTTACAGATTTATCAATATAATATAGAAACAACGAGTCGACGTGTTCTACAGATCCATCAATATAACATAAAAACATCGAGTTAACGTGTTTTACAGATTTATTAAATTACATAGAAACAACAAGTCAACGTGTAGTACAGATTTATCAATGTAACAAAGAAACAACAAGTCAATGTGTTCTACATATTCATCAACAATACATAGAAAAGAAAGTCAACGTGTTGTAAGGATTCATCAATATAACATTGAAACAACGAGTCAACGTCTCATATAGATTCATTCACATGACATAGAAACAACAAATCAACGTGTTGAACAGATTCATTAATAAAATGGTAAAGTTCGTATCTATTAAAGAAAAACGTAAGTTTCGAAATTTTTCGGAAACGTACATTTGTAAAATGTATGGATCCTAAACTAATAATCATTTTATCTCAGATGTGTATTAATAACATTTTGAAATTAATTATTTCTGCAGAACGGACGAAAAGCTTATATACAAATTAATGTCATAAGATCGTGGTCCAACGCTAAAGTTCAGTATGGTTTATATCATAATTAAGGATTAAGCCTATTTTTATATATTCACATATGTCCCTAAAATAGGAAGTTTTTGGGATTTAACTTAACAAATCATACGTCTTATTATAAGCACGACTTAGCTAGCTACTGCAGTATATTTGTATATACCTAAAAGCTTAGGTAAAAAACAAACGCAAAGACAGGAGGAAGAAGCAATCCGACTTTAATGACCCCGATGTAAAGACTTTAGAACTACTATTATTTCAAACAAAAATAAGCCACCATTAGTATATAGTATAGTTTATTTTGGAATATTTATGAAAGTCAGAGAATCAATTGTTTCTGCTTTGATATAAGCTCTGAAAGAAAGACAAAGAAAAAAACAAAATAAGTTTTAAAATATATAGAGATTTTACTACGAAACAAATGAGTACGGCATTCTGGTCTTTAATTTACAATCCTTATTTTGTAGAATTCTGAGACATAACATATTCAACTGTTGTATTCGTTCACGGTTATAATTCAAAGGCTATTATGAACAGTGCTTTGAAACGAAGTAATAAAAAAGTACAACGTTTTCATACTCTTATTTGTAGAGAAACTAGCTATAATAAAACTAATTAAGATAACCACGGTTGTATTTGTTTGTCACAAACTAAACCATATCAAACACGGCTGTGTTTGTATATTTGTTTGGCACAAACAAATTACATAAAAGACGGTTGTGTTTGTATATTTGTTTGCCACAAACTAAACTTTATCAAACATGGCTGTGTTTGTACATTTGTATGTCAGAAAATAAAGACATATGAAACATATTTGTGTTTGCATAATTGTATGTACAAACTAAACCACATAAAACACGGTTGTGTTTGTTTGTCACAAACTAAACTATATAAAACACGGTTGTGTTTGTATATTTGTTTGTCACAAACTAAACCATATAAAAACACAATTGTGTTTGTATGTCACAAACTTAACTATATAAAACACGGTTATGTTTGTTAAACTAATAATGACTTCATAAAATCTAATGAAAATTTTTTTTCTCAAAAGATTACTACCAAATGGTCTAAACTAAAATTACTTACAAACTGTCTAAACTAAAATTACTAACAAATGGTCTAAACTAAATTTACTAACAAATGGTCTAAAATAAAATTACTAACAAATGGTCTAAACTAAAATTATTAGTAAATTATCTAAACTAAAATTACTAACAAATGGTCTATAATTAAATTACTAACAAATGGTCTAAAATAAAATTACTAACAAATGGTATATAATTAGATTACTAGCAAATGGTCTAAAATAAAATTATTAACTAATGATCTAAAATAAAATTACTAACAAATAGTTTATTCTTTCTCAATTCAACTTTGCAATACACTTAATTTCCACAGTCACGTTTTATTTAAGAAAGGACTTGTATCGCTGAAGTTTCTCGGAAATAATTTCTGCGGAAAATTAACAAACGACGAGAGACGTAACACAATCATACACTTGGAGAATTGCTTTTTCCTGTTTACGTGTCTTGTAAAATATTTTTTGTAAGAACTTATTGCTTTTGAGATATCTTAAACGCTTAATGTTCAACTTATCCCATAATATAGTCATGTTCTCAGCGTTTTGATGTCATATTTGTTCAAATGACCTTGTTATACAGTAGTTTAAGTATTTCATTCTAATCGTGCTGGAATTACAATGAAGGTGCTGTAAATCAAGTTCAAACTTATTTCAATAAAAGAGATTCATTTGAGGCTACAAGATTCTATGGCTCACATTTTTCCAGTTTAAAGTAGGGAATGGTCCCTTTATAAGGTTGTTAGAGCTGCGATCTCATGATTAGTTAACACTAATCAAGTTATTGTTCACCATTTTGAGATTTGCGATAATTTTCCTATTCAGTTTAACAGGCTCATGCTCTCCATCTTCTGCAGCTATGGTGTTAACCCGGTTTAACATACTCATGCCATCCAGCTTCTGCAGCTATGGTGTTAACCCGGTTTAACAGGCTCATGCCCTCCATCCTCTGCAGCTATGGTGTTAACTTCTCTATGTCGAAGCTTAGTACTATAGCAGAAAAATGTCTCATTGATTTGATGGTGCTGTCGGTTGAGTCAGAAAGACTTTGGTGTTATTCGTGATCGTTTCTGAAGTTACTTTGCTGTTGATCGTACATAAAGTTAGTTGTCTTGTCCGTTGTATAATGTTTAAACTGTATATATTGTGTACACATTCTGTGTTGTGCGTATTGTTCCTATCAAGTACTGCCAATGTAGGGATGGCTCAGATTGTTAATCGAAATGGTATTTTAAATATCTCCTCAATAAGTCATCAGAACTTTACAATACTATACAGTGTTTCCTTTTATAACAATATCTATGTAATAACTGGGTCACAAGTTCTGGGAATGTCTATAAATATCATAGCAAAAAGTTTGAATTTCTTGTTATTCTTTCTTCTGCTTCTTTTTTATGGCCAGGTGGTTAGAGCGCTCGACTCGTAATCTGAGGGTCGCGGGTTCGAATCCCCGTCACACCAAACATGCCAACCTCCGCCTTTGCCTGGTCCTAAGTCCAGGATGAGAAAGGAGGAGGGTTGGGCTAGCAACTCAACCCCGTAAAAACCAACCTGCTACAAGTAACTGCAACAACAACTTCCATTGGCGAGGTGTTGTTGCGGCCCTATGCTCCACTGGGAGTTTACAGGAATAAAAAAAAAGAAAAAAAGAGTTCCAATGATCATTCAGAACACATAAAACTTGGTTAATATTAGGGTAGTAGGGGTTCTACTGGTCATTCAGAACATATGAAACTTGGTTGTTAAGCGCAATGGGCTTTGTGCACCATGCCCACTACAGTGATCGAATCTTCAAATTTATCATTATAAACCATCAAGCCTACCACTGAGCCACTGGAAGTTTATATGTTAATAGTTCCTCTAGTTCATATCACTATCTAATATTTAGTTGTGTGATTTTACAATCGTATCTTCCTAAGAGAATGTATGATAATTGATTGTTGAGACCAACTACGTAGAAATTAAAAGACATAAATCCTAATTATCTTTTCCCCTTATAGGTTTATTAATGTAATTCGCGATTGTTCACTCTAGCCTAATAAATTAGTAACAAAAACCAATTTGTTTACACAATAATAGTTGTTATAGAAACATGCTACATGTTTCGAGAGTACAAAAGAATAATACAGACCAAGGTACTGTCGCAACAAGTAGTGTGTTTTGTACAGTAAATATCCTGTGCTTACAAATCGTTGTTTGTTAAATTTTGACTGAACGGGAATAATGTTTGTCCTACATGAAAACACTAGACTTCTCCAGGTTATAAAAAGTATCGTATAACAATTGATATTGTAAATTAGTTTTACCGATTTTGTCTTTCATAGAACTGTGTCGACGTCATTTCTCTGTAGCCAATAAACATTCGAAGAGAGTTATGACGTTCAAGAGCGATGTTACAAAGGCCTGTGAGGCGGCATGACTGCGGTGACTGAGATGGCAAGAGAGTGAGGAAATTGACGGTAATTGTTGTAACCTAGCTATCGTGACGAAAGTTCGCTCGTTATAAAATTTGTCTCCGTATCTAGAATAAACACGCACAGACGTTCTAGGTCAACAGTTGTTGGTAATTCTAAATATGGCAAGAGGAATCTTTTTTCTGGCATCTCTGTTAGTTATGGTATCGGCGGGACCTACCGATAGGAAGACGGAAACTCCGGGCGATCTGGAACCCGTGAACGATGCTGCAATGTGTACCGATGTGCAGCGGATATTTACTACTAAACAGATAGGCATTTCTCGTCAAGTGCCGGATAGTGAAGTTAAAGGTAACGAAAAAACAAAAACAAACTCTTATTTTTTAATATCTATTAAGTGGGCTTTCAAACTGGTGCAGAAATAAGAAACACCATAAACGAAGAAATGGTTAATTTATTAGTTTAGATGTGCTTCTAAAGTCAACGTAATTTACAACGTTAATTTTATTCGTTATGGTCATAAGATATATTCTTACTATTTGGCTGACACTTAGAAATACCGTCGTTCCTCGTACTTTGTACTTTCCTTTGTTTGAGACAACAAATATTCCATTATTATATAAGAGAAAGTGTATGCTTTGTTATTCGTAGGTTTAAACATATATATATATAGCATTTTCATAGTAAGTTCCGTAGTTTCATGTTTCACAACCAACAAGATTTGCCATGCAAACATAAGGGTAACAAAATCTTTCTGGTAGGATAATTCCTTATTCTAGAACTGAATATGTATTATGTGATGTTAATGATCCAGTAACATCAATATTAATCTGTATTGTGGTCATTACAGGGGACCACCTGGAACTTTGCCCCTCCAACAGGTCGTGTTGTACCAAAGATATGGAGGAAAGCTACAAAACAGCAGCGAAAGTCGATTTTCAGCATCGGCTGCAGAGTAGCAGTTCGTATCTCAAGACTCTGATTTCGGCCAGCAGTAACCAGTTTCTAGGTTAGTCGCAGCTTTTGTTTCATTTGTTTTACCCAATTGCCAAACAACAGCAACATCACGTGATTACTATCTGTTAATCGGCAGATAAACACTAATTCAGCAAGTATATATATCTACCTTGTTGATGTAAATATGTTATCACTGCGGTACTAAGTAAAAAAGTGAATTATATGATACACAAAATCTTTAATGTTATACTTTGGCATACTTATCAGTTTTATATAAGTGAATGAGTTTGTAAGTTGCACAACATACTCAACAAAATAAATTATAACTTGCTTATATATTTCCTTTTAGATTATTCATTTTTGTTATATTTCTAATTTCTTCTGCCGATTTTATTAACAAATGTGTATGAACCCAGAGAGACATAATTGAAAATTGAGGCCACTATTCTGTGGGATATTTTATTTATTTGTGTGGTTTAATTTAAAACAGTTTTTGTAGTTTGCATAACAGATGGTTTCCTTTTCTCACCAGTGAATGACTAGATAACTTCCCACCGTTTGAATATAGCATATCATCTGTTACACGTGACAGGCGCGTGTTTCCAAAAAAAAGCGCAAAATATTGAGGTCAGAAATAAACAATTGCGCTATTACTTGAATGTAAGTTCTGTCTATTCGAATTTCAAAACTGTGTGAATTAATTTAAGTTTTTGTGTTTTTTTTGTCTGTACATGTAAACAAGGTGTGTCCCTATGTTTTAGTTACGTTTAGATGTTGTTACAGGCTTTGGTCGATATTGTGTGTGCGGACTGTGTGATGATTACACGTGAAAAACGTGTACACGTTTAGCAGTACTTTTCACGGGTTCATTCACGAAAACTGATATATAACGCTTGAAAGCGCCTACGGGCCGCACTTCCCCAGACCCCGTTTCAATCTTTTACCAAGCCCATACCCTCCTGGCCAAATTCTCTAGCTGACCACAATAAGTTCGGCCTACTTACTATTTGTATCTTGTCCACTGCAGATTTATTGTACACAATAGAACTTTTTTGTGGTTTGACCAATACTGGCCCCAGTAGCCAGCCTGTCTTAACAACCAATCGGAGATCTTAATTTTCTTCGGCAAGAATCTTCACAGTGAATAATATTTTGTGGATAAATTTAAATACTAGGAGATTCGAATTTTATCAAATGATCATGTTAGTTTCATTGTAAATGTTATAAAATCAAGTTAGACTGATAAATTGCCACCGACGTCCTATATATGAAAATGTAATATAAAACGAATAGATAAAAGTGTTAGTTGTAGCTCATTGTCGATGGTATATGTTTTGGTTTTGTTTTTTATATGACTACAGTAATGATTTTTTTCGAGTAATTTGATTGTTGGGTTCATTTTGTCCTTCAATATTCAATATATTTAATATTACACGATGTCTTCCCTGGTGTGAAATGTATGTATGTGTATCTCAATGTTGTTTTTCTGAGAAAATAGACAAATGGTCCCTGTTCAATTAGTGTGAAAGTGACCTCCCGTGACGGATTTAGTGATGATTACACCACGTTGTCCCCTAAGAGCAGAAGTTGTCTTCAGGTGTGTCGGCCTGAAGCACTTCACGTGCTTGCAGGATGGAGATGTCGATCTCTTTGTAGTCCGCCCGCCCCGTGGTTCTGGTAGGTTCGTTGGCAAGTGCAGGGGCACTACCCCCCAGGTTAACACTGATGGTGGGCGCAATTTCAAGTATGTGTATACATTGTTGGTTTTCTTCAGTTAAGGTGAATCAATTCTCAAACCTCGAGGGAATTCAAAAAGAACTTGTATCTACTTACATTTTGTTTGACATCTCTGTTAACCGCATGCCCTTATGATAGACCTGTAGGTGTACATGTTAGAAAATTCATTCTCTTATGATTAACATCATTAAATAAATTGTTATACAGTTATAGCTTTAAAGGAGTTAGGAAGGGTGTTCTCCCTCTTCTGTGAATTGCTTTACTTAGCACCTTGAAATACAATGTTATTAGACCAAAACAAAAGTCCAGCGGACTCTTTAGAAATGTATGGTATTGTTACGCTTCCTATCGCAGTAGACCTCTAGTGGATCAGTGGTAAGTCTGTGACCTTATAATCCTAAAAATCTGGTTTCATAGATAACTCATTGTTTAACTTTGTGCTTAACTACAAACAAACCTACCGTAGTAACCAAAGGTGAAACTTTTAAGATAATTTGTTGGTAAATAAAGGTGTATTCTCTCCTACAACATGAGAATCAACAAAAAATCTTATTTGTTTCATGAGTTTTGTTAACTATATGTATTTTTTTTATTGGAACACGTTCAGCGATAGGTTTACGTTTTCTAGTTGAGATCTCTATTTATGAATTATTTTTTCAGATTACAGAAGCTCGTTTTTCTTAATTGTTGTACTCACCTCTTAATTACATCAGGCCGTAGTTCGTTCTTACTGTTTCTACGAAATGATTGATGTGATTGTGGGTGCAGAGGATGAAGGGTGGGTGGATTACCTTGGCTCCTTAGCTTTGTGGTTATAAGTTGTTTTTGTTATTTGCCGGCACGACTCATTTCCCTTAAGTTACGGGCCCACTCAATGGGGACAGGCTTTACCATTACCGTCAAGGGTTCAATCGGCTCGCTTGGTTTGTGTGTAGGCGGTCTGTACTGCTCATCAAAATTACGATAAATGGTCTTAGAAAGTGAAAGAAAAAAAAAATCGGCGAAATGTTGATAAAAGCACATATCTTTCTACCGTTTATTACTAGAAAAGAAATTTGAAAATATCGTATTGATATATGAAGAACAATTAGTATTTTTGTGGCGATCTCCTGCATGTGTTGACTTCGTCATCAGTAGAAAGTTTACGATTCATGGATGGTTGAAAAAGTTTTTTTTTTCAAGGAGTACACCTATTAAATAGCAAAATTGTAATATTGGAAGAACAGAACCTGGGTAAAAAATTTAAATATAATAATATATCGTGTACTTTTTACATAAATAAATAAATTTCAAGAGCATGAAAATAAATAGAGAAAGATTAAAACGTACTTGATAGTATTCTAATGTCATGATGTCAAGTAGTAGATTTTATGACATCAGCTTGTATTTAACACATCAGATCTTTTTTTTTTCTTTTCTTCAAAGAGACACTTATCTTTCTCCAATTATATTATTTAATTTTTTTTTGAAAACCCTGTTTTTGCTTTCAAGTTTGTTATTACAAAAGAGAACTATTTCTTTTAGTTATAAAACACATGTGGTTGGTTTACTATACCTTGATAATTTTTTTTATTTATAAAACACATGTGGTTGGTGTACTGTACCTTGCTAAATTTTTAATACAGCCTTTTTCTTAATTAGTTTTATTTAACAAAATAGTAGTGTAATTATTCAGTGCCTATTAAATGTGAACCTATTTTCTAACATGAAATGTACCTACGTCTGACATGCTCGACACACGAATCTCAGGATGTCAAGTCTGTTGGAATAACTACATGACTATATAAGTAATTACGAACAGCTGAAAAGAACATATAGTTAAGTTTATAATGTGATTGAACAGGCGAATATTTCTGCGTGTTTTAAAGTATTTTTATATGTAAATACAGTTTTTGTTGCTAAATAATCAACATGCGTTTTGAAGTTTTAATGGCACCCATACAACCGGTTTGGTAGAACTGTCACAGGCTTTTCTCGCGTACATTTGTCTTACATTAAGAATTCGCAAAAGACCACGTGATTTGAGACAGTAGGCTGGTCGATGCAACCTGTTCGCAAGCTGACACGCTAACAAAAACTTGTCTCGCGCTGTCTAAACGACAGGATTGTTGAGCGGAGTTGTTGAACAAAGACGATTGAATGTATCACTGACACACTGCGGGTAAGAGTGATCCCAAAGTAAATGATTCTGTGAAACATTCAATCACAGCAGCACCACAACCATTGTTTGTAAATACATTGTATTTGGGATGCTATTGAAACGATGCGTCCTCGTACGGTTTTGAATTAAAAAAATGTGTAAATATTTGCATACATACTTTTTAGAACAAACAATATTGCATTCTTTTCATTTTTGCACGTGGTAAGTGATATAAATATGTTGTTATTATAAGTTGTTCTTACTGTTTAAAAAAAAAGACATATTTCTAACACAGGTTACGAGTTAGCTTGTTTATTTTGTGACAACTGAACTGTGGCGCGACCTAGAGGGTAACGTTCCGGGTCCACGATTACGAGGATCATAGTTTGCGTCCCGTTGTCGCAAAAACACGCCTCTCATTTTGGGGCCGTGAGTTCTTTATAAAAGTAACGGTAAAATTCCACTATTTAGTCAGACAAGAGCAGCCTAAAAGTCTGCGGTGGGTGTTATTTACTAGCTGCCTTCCTTCTTTCTAGCCTTTTTGTTCAAAATTAATGACTGCTATCTGAAGGAAGCCCTTGTGTAACTTTGCGCAAAAATTCGAAATTCCGAAAAAAACAAACACACTACAATTACATATACATAAAAAAGATATTTAGTTAACATAAAAAAGGTAATTAAAACGTTAAGTTAAAAGTTCAACATATATAAGAGCTTACTCTACGAGTAAAAACATATTCCAAGTGACCTCATTTTTTATGAAAGTGACTATTTAAGAACTCTAACGCGGAGAAATGGGAAGGGGACTAAATGGTGATTTAAAAGATACATTTAAAAGCAGCCATTTACGACTCTGGTGTAATGAGGTACTTGACCAAACAACTTTTCAAACTATTATCAGTTCAGTCTTGGACCGAGATAATAATCTCAGTTCTGAAACACGGGGAAGGGGGGGGGGGTGCTACATTCAAACTCGATGTAAACAGCTACTAGTAAACCAAGGCCAAGTTGAGTGATGACTGAAATTATCAATTTAACAAAATAAAGTTTAGAAATCCTTGTTACATTTGTACAACTGTGACTTTAAGGCCTTAGAAATAAAAACCACGTAGATGTAACACGATATTATCTTTGGTTTGCAGACATTTTGAAAATACTCAGTTTAGCATTTTGTG